ATTAAACTTAAGTGAATCTGAAGTAGCTAGATTTCTTCTAAATCCACACAGCTGAGGAAACCTGTGCTTGCTCTTTCTCTGAATTTTCACTGACGGGCTTTTATCTCCCCCTAATCCCACCATTTCTGTCAGGACATAATCTCTTTCTCAAATTTACATTTTAATTACAAGGCCAGCTGAACTAGCTAAAATCAATAATGTCAGCATTCAGCAGCCTAACTTCAGCTGAAACCACAGCCTCTCTCTTTCCTTCTATCGATTTATCTTGTGAACACGGTCTATTTTATTGCTTCAGGCAAATAGGTGCCATTTGGTCAATTTAAACAAAAAAGGGGATTTGAACATTTTTATGATTCTTTCTAAAAGCTACTGTTGCAACAATTTGAACCCAGATACTATGCTTGCCTTAAATAAAATACACAGAATAGCAGAATTCATAAGAGGAATTTTACTTCTAATACTGCACTTAATCCCATCTGTGTCTTAAAAACAAAACAAAAAACCCCCACCCTAACATTGGATACTGTTCATCTAGGACTGTGTGGTGAGTCTTGTCTTTATCTTGTTAGCAAAAGCTGATTTTATAAATAAATATCTTTTAAAAAAAATCCACAGTAGAGGTGGTGTTACTGATGTCATAGTGTATTTACCTTCAGCCATTTTCCCGTTAATGGTTTAAAAAAAGAAATCAATGGGAAAATATTTTGTTCTTGTAACTCTGAAGAATTCCTATATTGATCTTTTGGATGTGATTTTATCTATCTAAATGTCACATTGTCCATTTATCTTTCTTGCCTTTTCTGTGTGTTGCTGACTGCCTGTCTCTGCTGCTCACATCCTCTCCCCCTCAGACAAAATCAGTGTAGTGCAGGAGCAATCATGCTTTCTGTAGACATCATAGGAAAAAAATGGAATAAAACTGAGAATTTCTAATACATATACACATACTCTTTCTGAAGAGGGGAAAAATGGCGAGACACATACCTGCTGCCTTCTGACTTTGAGGCAGTTTACAGATAGTATGCTTACAAGTGCTCTGAAAACCGTTGCTTTAAACAGTGCTTTTCAGAAAAAATATTCTCGTCCTTGCAAAAAAGAAAGGAGAAAAAAAGCAATTTTAAAAGCTAAATCCAGTTTCAGCAGTTCTACATTGCAGACACCATCTGTTATATGTTTCTCAGCTGACCCTGTTCACACAAAAGGATCTGTTTATCATAAAAGGGAGTTTACTCTTCCAAATCCTGATGACTCCAAACTGTGGTTTTAACAGCATCTTTTTGGTTAATTCTGTTTCACTTTGGCACAAAGCACCCTGAGAAGGAATTTTTAGCCATTGACAGGAGCTGAGATTAAGTCCTGTCCTGCCCCTTTTCCAGATAAGTACCTTCAAGATCGTTTCCTTAATATTTTGCTGAAGTCCTGTTTAACAAATTGTGGAGGCACCGTTATACTTCTTGAGTGGCAAGTCCACAGCCTAATAAATGCCATGAGATCATTTATTCTGCTATTTAGCCTAAATCCTTCTCTGCTTAATTCCAGCCTCTTATGCCTAATTACCGTTTCCCTTATTGCTGGTCCTTCTACTAATTTTGAGATCCTTTTCCAATGCACAGATTAGCCCTTTAAATGATTCTTTTTGATAATGCTCCTTAAAGCCTTGTTGACTGTGGGGAAAGAAAGTTCCATGGCAAGGTGAGTATGGCGTGTTCATCACTTTCATTAGTGATGTGGACATGTCTGAGTAAGGAAGAAGTAGTGCCAGGCATGCTCAGCAGCAACAGCAGCATCACCAGCCAACAGAAAGATGGCCTGTGTCTGTCTACAGCTGGTTCTAACCTCCAATCTGAGGACAAAAGTATTTAAAAAGGGGTGATCCTTCTTTGCTTCACAGTCCATGCTAACTTCAGTTCCCTGGAAGTGCTGGACGGCTCGAGCAGCCGTGTTTTTCACGATGCCCTGCCTTAGGAACATAGGCTTCAGTTTGGGGGCATTTTCCAGAGAGTGGAACAGAGAGTCGGGGAAGAGCTGGGTTTGACACTGGTTTCAGACCGTGATGAATGTCTCTGTTCCCACTGCTCTTTTCCATCTGCTGTCTGCAGATGTTTGGCCAGTTAGGTATTTGTTGAAGTCTTTCTGGGACAGCTGCAGGACTGGCAGGACTGAAATAGCCACCCTGAGATGTGTGTTCCCTCCTGTGGGGTATCTACACAACCCTGACATAGCCTTTTCTAAGAAAAGGTGGAATGTGTCAGCCTGCCAGAGCTGGGTCTGGTGACTTTATGGGCATGGGAAAACACTGTCACACACAAGCCGAGTCGCAGATATCCTTGCCTTCCTTCAACTGTCTTATTGAAGTGGTCTACATTTCTCTGTCATACACTGGATAAGCAGAAGGAATGTTTTGAGTTGTAGGAGAGTTAGGAGAAGTATCTCTGAACGCTTTCATCATCTTTCCTTCTCCAGATCCTGTTTCCTTCCCTCTCTTATTTTGAAAGGGGTCAGTAAGCCATCTGTTACTGTTGTTGTTACTGGCCTCTGCCCTGAATCACCCTGCCCTTAAAATATTTTCCTTCATTATTACCAGGATAATCCACACCAGAGAGAGACATGGGGTCTCAGATGGTCTAGAAGACTCCTCATCCTGGAGAGTGTTCTGGGACTCTCGCTCCTCTCTGAAGTCTTAAGATCTATGAATGACTGAAGTGATCATTCACTGTATGCAGCAAAATTTAAAGGCAACAGATGCAGGCAAGCCTGATTCAACGGGGTGTCTGCTTGTGTTTTCCCTCTCCTTCTGAGGGGCTCTAACTTGGTGGAGTTTTAATTGGGGTAGTTGGCTCCCTCTGGGCAGAGGATGTCCAGGAACTAATTTAAAGCAGGGGATTGACGAAACACTCTTCTCAGTAACTTGAGCTTGTAGCCTTGGAAAGTGAGATGTCGTTCCCTGTGTAAGGACTGAGCTTCTGATCTAGGTACATGGAAAGTTTAGGCCCATGTGTATCTGTGGAGTGGATCTAGAAGGTCGCCAGCTCAGCAACTGGACCCATGGCTGGAGTCAGGCAACGCCTTCGGTTACAGGAACGTGTGGTGCAAATGAATCAAGGTTAGGATCACTTACTGCAAGACCCTGTAAAGTAGAAAGAAAGGGGCAGGGCATGCTGCTCTGATTTTTCTCTGTGTGTGTGTGAAAAATAGTTTTTTCTATGAAATGAAAGTATTTTGTGTGCCAAAGCTGTCTGCCGTTACAGGTCCTGAAGTTTCCCACTCAGAGGGCAGGCCATACCACAGTGGCTTTTCCTTTTTTAGTTGATATCTTGTGATACGCTTAACAATTAGCAAAACAAATCCGTAAAGCAAGAGTACTTCTGGATACAACTTCAGGGCTGTCTAGAAGTGGGCAAGAGATGGAAACCTCCCTTTAAATATTGGCTAAAACATGTCAGATAAGCTCAGGTGGCTTTTCATAACAAGGCTGAAATAATTTGCTTTAAATTTCAGTCTTGTGAAACCATGGCTTTTTGGTGTTGATTTAGGGTGTTTTTTTGAGGCATAGCACTTTCCATTTCAATCGTTTATTTTATAAAAAAGCTTTCTGATGGGGAAAATGTAGTCTATTACATTAGTGTGAGGGATCACGTCTTTCCATTTTTAGCTGTCGTTGGCTGAAAAGTTCTCGTTACTACTGCCAGCTAATAGAGTTGCTTCTCTAGCTCAGCGGGTAGAGGCATGTGCTGTCTAACGGCTCAGCCTATCTAATTGCATCATTACAGTCCGTGCCGACTGTCTAATCTAGCTGTATAAAGTAATTAAGTTGCCCCACCACTGAGCTGCTGGTGCTGAACATCAGTGCCTGGTGCTGCCTTGCAGCGGGCTTGTTCCTCAGGAACAGCTCAGGCATTTGCTGTCCCTTAAGCATATTCTGCGGGTATGCTCATTGCTTCTGCCAGTACTTAGATGTTTTATCTTGGCAAAATGTGTTGTTTAGTATCTGCGCAGAAAAAAAAAAGTTCTCTGGATAAATCTGCAGATATATTTAGGAATCGAAACTCAGCTATTCTCAGTGGTCCTGCCCCTTAACAAATCAAGAATTAAAACAAGTTGGTTTATATTCTCTGAAGGGCCCCTATGGTAGCTGAGAATCATCAAGGAGCA